CGTGCAGCGATTCTGGATCTCTTTTGGGCCTCAGCTGAGTCGTCGCCAGAAGTTGGAACTGGGCAGCCATGCAAGAGGTGTGGTTCTTCACGCTGGACGAGGACAAATCCTGGGGTGGCTACAAGAGCGGCGGCTACGACAACCACAGCAACATCCCTGAGGCTCACATCGACAGAGACGCCAATAGAGACCCATGTAGACCCAAAGAGAAACTGTTTGCAAAGAATCATGTCTCTGTTGCCAGATAAAAGGGTAAAAAAAAACAATTATCATATTTTGCTACTGGCCAAGGAGGTTCCAATGGTGTAAATGCTTAGCCCGAGCTCTCGTACTCTGATGGTGCATTGTCTTTGAGTTGTGCGCCTTGTGGCTTCATCTGGTCCAACACCAATGTGAGACGAGGCTCTAAGGAAAGAAGTCTCGGGTGTGGACCAATCAATTTCAAGGACAGTGCCAATACATTATCAAAGTCGTGTTTTCGTTTGCATTCCAACCGCAGGTATTGTGGGCAATACAAACATGGCTCCTTGTAAAAAAAAAAGCTGTCAGTTTGTTGCCAGATAAAAGGGTAAAAAAAACAATTATCAATCATGTCTGCATTAACCACACACGGCACTTGTGGTGAACATGCAAACAAAAACACGCTCTGATAATGTGGCATTGTCTTTGAAACTGATTGGTCTACACCAGAGACAACAGCCTTCTTTAGGGCCGCGTCTCACTACCCAGCGTCTCACTACCCAGCGTCTCACTACCCAGCGTCTCACTGCCCCAGCGTCTCACTACCCCAGCGTCTCACTACCCCAGCGTCTCACTACCCCAGCGTCTCGCTACCCCAGCGTCTCACTACCCCAGCGTCTCACTACCCCAGCGTCTCGCCACCCAGCGTCTCGCCACCCAGCGTCTCACTACCCCAGCGTCTCGCTACCCCAGCGTCTCGCTACCCCAGCGTCTCGCTACCCCAGCGTCTCGATACCCCAGCGTCTCGATACCCCGGCGTCTCACTACCCCAGCGTCTCACTACCCCAGCGTCTCACTACCCAGCGTCTCACTACCCCAGCGTCTCACTACCCCAGCGTCTCACTACCCCAGCGTCTCGCCACCCAGCGTCTCGCTACCCCAGCGTCTCGCTACCCCAGCGTCTCGCTACCCCAGCGTCTCGCTACCCCAGCGTCTCACTACCCCAGCGTCTCACTACCCCAGCGTCTCACTACCC